ATCGAAGCTAAAAATGAATTTATTACCATAACTTTTAGCTCAATTTGCAAGTTTGAAAGTGACATCATTAAATAGAAAAAATGGTATTGTTAAGATTATTATGCAATCAGGAAATTTTATAAGTACTATTTACAGTAAATTTTTATTTCAACCATGGTCAAATTCAGGTGAAACTAAAAATCATTATTTTTTTTAATTTATGACTTATATAGCAACATGTTACGAAAAAATTTGGAATGTTATAGACTGGTAGTAGCACACACAAATAGAGTAAAAAAATTAATAAATTTCAAAGTAAAATTATATAATATCAAATCTAATGCGACAATATACTTTAAAAATATTAGAAATGAATGATTTTAATTGTTTGTATGGATAAAGCTGGTTAAGCTACTTTTTATTTGAATAAGGATTTTTTTTCCATTTTTAAGGGTAATATCTTCAACTAAATACGATTTGTTATCATTTGACGTATCGTTGTAAAAAGTAGATCAAGTGAGGGTTGGTAAATTAAATCGTAGCCACAAAAAAACCTATATAGTAAAATAATATTAACATGAATAAGAAATATCTTCTCACGAGGGGAGACTATAGTGATGGGATTTTTGATATTTATTGAAATTACTGAATCAAAATGAGATAAAAATCAAATGATTTCAAATTTTTTTTCTAACCCTAAGCGTGAAAGACACAAGTGTTACCGATTCGACAACTGTTTGTTTCTTTCATAGCATGATAAAATTGGCAATTTAAGCTAACTCAAATTTAAAAATTACTTTTTCGATTTAAAAAAAGTAAAACAAATTTAATAAGTTTGATTTCTTGTGTCTTATGAACTTTTTTCTACGTCAATTAAATTACATAATATTCATAAAAGTCAGTATATAGCCCTTATAAGATATTTTAAGATAAAATAAAATACAAAACCCAGGATTCTAACACAAAAATAGCGTATTTTTGAATACGGTAGTCATGTGCGTATAAAAGATAGGTCGTCGGAACAAANATTTTAAGATAAAATAAAATACAAAACCCAGGATTCTAACACAAAAATAGCGTATTTTTGAATACGGTAGTCATGTGCGTATAGAAGATAGGTCGTCGGAACAAATTTTTTTTTTCATTTTATAGTACATGACATAAGCTTTCACTTGGCATATGTTTAAAGGACATAGTATTTCCGGAATATTTTCAAAAGTTAAGTTGAAATATTTGTTTTTGTAAAAAACTTACTATTTTAATTTCCCCTGTGAGCAAAATAAGTGTTAGATTTTCAAAAAAATGATATCAGATGAAAGGAAATTACCTAAGGTTTCAATATAAAAAAATATTATTTTGATTTGTTAATATTTGAAAAAGTTATGATAGTTTTAAGTACAAAAAACATCCCGATAGAAGGTGATTTTTATCGCAAACATTGCATTTTTTTTTTAATTTCGACAGCCATTTGCACATAGAAGATAAGGTGTCGGGATAAAATTTTTTTTTTCATTTTATAGTACATAAAATAAGCTTTAATTTTATATATATTTAAAGGACGCAGTATTTCCGGAACATTTTCAAAAATTAAGTTGAAAAAGTTACTTTTTGTAAAAAAGTTGCTATTTTAAACCTCCCTCAGTGAGCAGGTTAAGTGTGAAATTCGCATCGAAGCTGAAAAAAAAAATAAACACATCATGGTAAAATTAATACCTTCTCAGCTTCGCATTGATGCTAAAATTCTATTTGTGTTTTATGGATATTCATTGATTGACTTATTCCAAGCTATAAGCTGACAAATTTTAAATTCAGAACAAAAAAGTTCGATACATCAAAATACTATGTGATGGATAGTTAACATTTTAATCGTGAAAAAGTAATATTGTAAGGTGGAAATTTCCATCATAATGTAAATTTAATAAAATATTAGTAAAAAGTTATTTTTGTGATAATTCAATAATATTTTACTGAAATTATATTTCTTTTCGTTCATAATGAGTCCGGGTTTATAATATAAACTTTATATGGACTTAATTAGTTAAAAATAATATGCATTTATATATGAATAATTTTGAATAATCATATCGTGCGATATGAGGACAGCTGATGTGGGAGATCGTGTCAAGTGGATGTGTTTGGATAAGGGTGGCCAACCCCTAGTAGTTGGGATTAAGGCGAGTAAGAAGAAGACATAAATAATCTTGAAATAAGCATCAAAATTTGCTGTTACAATTAATAAAGTGTACAAACAATCTTTATTTTTGGTTTAATTATACTTTTATGGATATTCATGAAAATGTCATATAATTCCAACCCAACCGTAAGAATAAAAATTCCTAAAAAATATAAACTAGAGTCCTATTTATATTACATTTAAACAGCAACTAAAACCGCGTAGATTATAATTTGGTTCGTTTAACCACATAAACGTTCATAACAAGTATACCACAATTATTACAAGTGATTACTGATTATTAATAAATTTATCATGTTTTAATTAGTATTAAATCACCGTATATGTTCTATAAATGTTGAACAATTCAATATAAATAATATACATACTATTGTTTGTGAAAAGATAAAAAATGTTATTGTTAATTCATTTAAATTAATTAATTATTAAAAAAAATAATTAAATAGGATTTGTAGGCGATTGTATCTTGTCCTAGAATAGGCCATTTAAATCAATAATTCCTGCCAAAAGATGGCAGATCAAAGAAGTACTCCGTATTAAAGTTACATTGAATATAATACCGAATTTCCTACAAAAAGACTTAAAAAAAAAAAATTGTTGTATAATTTATAATCAGTCCCACATTATGTTTCATGATCTTGTCGGTTAAATCTAAAATCTATTAATTATGAATATGTAGTGTTCAGTAAGTAAAGAAACGGGTTTTTTTTATTGTTCTCATTGTTTGTAACAATTGACCAGTTTCTTTACTTTTTGAATCGTAGAGTCCCCTGAGTAGACGAATATTGGACTGACGAATACGTCATTAGGATCAAATAGGTGTATTGTGAGACGTACACGAGAAAATCACAGCTGTTAGGGCTATTAAGCATCTGTAAAGCTAATTATGAAAAACCAAATATAATTTCCAAGTGTTTTTTCATTATTATTGTCAAATATTTCATGAATTTTTAGATTGGAAAATTAAATAACTATCTAAATAAAAATCCAAAGACTAAGAAAAATTTCTTTTGCAAAAATACACTCATATTTTATAGTTATTATAAATTACAAGCATAATATAATTAATTTTTTAGCATCGATGCGAAGCTGAGAAGGTATTAATTTTACTGATGTTTTTTTTTTGTGTCTATTACCACTTTTTCTCAGCTCTCGCCAAACCGATTTTTTTCAACAATACGCCAAAAGATCACAAATTGTATCTATTCGTAGGCATTATTCTCAAAAATTGAAAAAATTTCCCTCGTTCACCATAAATGGGAGAAATCTTAAAAAAAATTATGTATTTAAAAATCGCTAATTTTCAAAATTTTTTAAAAATGACCAAATCAATTTAATTTTTTTTTTATAGATGCATGATGTCTTTACTTATTATTTGATATATATATATTTTAAATTTGACCCTTTACCTGCTCACAGGTGGGTATTTAAAATGATTTTTTTTGTAAAAAAATCATTTTTTCCACTTAACTTTTGAAAGTGATTCGGAAACTCTGACACTTTTGTATATATCTTAAATTAAAACTTATGTAATATACTTTATTATGGAAAAATAAAATTTCGGACTTTATTTTGTCTTCACGGTGAAAATGGCTACCGTATACTATTTTTGTGTTAAAATTCTCGATTTTATACTTTACATTTTTAACTTTAAAATGCTATAACTTTTTGAAAAATAAATGGATCAATACAATTTTTTTATGAGAAATATTTATATACCTCTTTCATACAACATACGTTTTACGTCCAATCGGATTATTTCTCTTCATATAGTTATTCATATATTACACTTATAAATCATAAAACTTGTAATCAGGATATAAATAAGGAAATAGGAGATTATGTAGCTTTTGGAATAATCCATCAATTTTTTAAAATTATACACTATCTTTTGATTTGCATCGATGTATTTCTTATGATAGTGCTTTTAATCACTGTCAGATATTATTTATACTTAACCCACCTATGCCACGTCTCCACTATGCTAAGGTTTTTTAGATAAATATTTTTTTTTATAATCAAGTCCCTTGCATAAGTGATCGGTCACCCAATATTTCTTTATACATAAGTATATTTCTTTATACAGAAAATATATTTGATTTTTGTTATTAAAATTCAAGTTCCGTTAGTGTAATTGTATAAATTAGTTACAACGTTTTATTTTGAAGTGCTTAATACGTATTGGTTAACCAAATGTTCATGTCCATAATCCATAACATTGGACTAGAGGATCAGTTTAAAATGACTTTGACACAATTCAACACTTTTCCAAAATATTATGTTCCAATTTTAACCTTACATTGAAATAAAAATATTATGATTATCAAATTATATGTTTAGTATAAATTTTGTAATACAATCTTGGTGCTATTTTAGATGTAACATTAATTTCCACTCGTATACATCTTTTTTACATCAAGTAAAAGAATTTTAAAAACTATTTTAAACTCTCTAAAATTTTAAATAAGGAATTAAAAATAAAAATAGTTGATCTCCTTTTATTCAACAAATTTGACTACCTTTAGCTACAGAAAAATACAATTAAAAAAAAAAAAAGAACTAAGAAATATAAACAAAAAGTACAAACAATTTAAACATTTGTGTTTACTAATGACTTTCTTGGTTCTAATCTGATTTTGAATCCATCAGATCTTTTCAGGATTATATCACCTTGGATTTTCCACTTATTCTCTGGTATGGTGCTATAAACTTTGAAATTTCTTAAAATAGTGGCTAGAATAATTTTTAATTTTAGCATAGCATATTTGCGGCCTGTAAATAATAATAATTATTCAATAATTTTATTATTGAAAAGTTTATTTCAATGTTTAAAACGATTGATTTTGACTTCTATTAGAGTAATTTAAATTTTTCATTTTTTTTCACACAAATACAATAAATTCCTTATTAATTTTAATTTTATAAAAAAAAAATTATAATACTCACCAACACAACTTCTTGGTCCTGCACTAAATGGTATGTATGCGTAATAATGTCGGCTGGCTGTTCTTTCCGGTAAAAAGTGGTCAGGGTTAAAAACATCAGGATTAGGAAATACTACTGGATCACGGTGAAGTTTAAGAGTACCAATAGCAATTGATGCACCAAGAGGTAATATTGTGCCATTAACTTTTGTATAAATTAAATAAATATAGATTATGTATTAAATATTTAAAATTGAAAATATAAGTTTATAAAAAAAGTTAAATTTAAACATGCATGACTTATTTAAATTAACTGTTTTTTTTTTTGTCTCAAAGAAATGAAATCAGTGTATCACTCCTTTTGATAACTTAAAATATAATCATTTAAGATAAATTAATCTATATAATACTTTTTTAATAGAGAAATATTTATTTAAATATCTATAGATAATTAATTAATATTATACATTAACATCTCTATGATGAAATCATATTAATAAAAATAAAAAATGATAAACACGTCTTGTAGTTTTATAGTACGGATGGTCTATGATGTTTTGACAAATCTAAATACTTTTGATCAATTAAATATTATACATTACATTTTAAAAAAAAAAAATAATTATTATACTTTAGGACAATGAAAATATCATTAAAAATAATATTTTTTTAATATATTAAAGAAGTATAACTTTTTTTACACAAAAAAAAACTGAGTATTTTAAATAATTTTTTTTTGACAATAGTTTAATGTATTTTATTCAACAAATAATACAAAAATATTATATTATGTTTTAACTTTTTATTTTATAAAAATTAAAAATTAATTAATTATAAACAAAGCTATAGTTATATTTGTTGAACTTTCTCCCAGTATTAGAAAATGTAATTCAAGAACCACTAGACGGTTTTTTTTTTATTTGATCAATTTTATATGAACCAGTAAAATTTTATAATTGTTATCGGCATGACGTAAGACACAAGGCATGACTTTTAATAGGGGTTCAACAAATATAGCCATAACTTAATCTAAAATATATATATTTTTTTAATTTTTGTCTAATAGATAAAACATAATATTTTCTTTATAAAATAAATTAAATTACTGTAAAAAAAAACTATTCACTAAAAATACTCACTTGAAACCCTCACCCCTTAAAGTACTTTATATACCTAATTTAACGTTTTCATAAAGCTGACGTCCAATTATAGGAACTGGTGGATATAAACGTAATGTTTCCATTATACATCTTTCCAAAAATTTCATCTCAAGAGTATCTTGAAATGTGACTGGTCTATCAGAGTCTCCAAAAATTGAATATAATTCTTCAACAACTTTTTCCTATAAAAAAATATATAAAATTTACTATTAACAGAACACCACTGTCAACATATTTATAATAATTAAAATAAAATAAACCTGAATGTCCAAATATTCACCCATTAAACATAAGAAAAAGCTACTACCAGCTGCCGTTGTGTCGTGACCCTAGAAAGAAAAATAATCTAATAGAATACTAAATAATTAATAAGTCTAAGTTTCTTACCTCAAACATTATAGTGTCTACTTGTTCACGAACTTCTTTGTCAGAAAGGACAACTCCATTTTCTGCACATTCAATTAAAAGGTCCAAAAAAGCTACTCTTTTCTTTTCACCTAAATATAAACGGATATTTCTAACATAATATTATATAATTAAACAATATATCTATCGAATTAGTTTTATAATACTTTTGTTAGTTCAAATGAGTTATTTGATTTAAAATAACTACTGGTGACACTATTCCGAGCAGAGTATTTTGAATATTGAATACAAAATATCACCCTAAGCCCCCTTCTTGAGTAATAGTAAATATAGCTACCCATAAATTCAATGTATGATTTAACTACAGATGTTAGATATCTAGGCTTAAATAATACCACATGTTTTTTTATTGATACACATACAGAAAAAATAATGATTGTAGATGATTCATTATGTTAAATTTGTTAAGCATTAAAATTACCAATGATGTCATCTTCGACATCTAAATCATCTTTGAGACCTGCCGATTGTCCAAATGAGTTTCCATAAGGGATATTTTCAGATAAGGAATTCTTATCAATATCATGCGATTCATGAGTTATGGATACTATTTCAGATACAGTTTCTTTATCTGTTTTATTTATATCGTAGTAGTCTTTCTTCTTTTTAGCCAACACCTAATAAATGATAATAATACTTTATTTATAATACAAATGATTTACAAAATCATAATTTTGAACTTATTTATTACTGAATGTTATTAGATATATACTCACATTGTTTGTCAGGTCGTGTATTATATTAAGCAAACGGGTCTGTTCTTTTCTATACTTTGTAAAGTTGAAAATAATATCAGGTCTCAACCACAAACGAGTGTGACGTAAATGCAATATGTCACACATTCTAGAGTAGAGTTAATTAGTATGCATTTATAACATCAAATATAATTGGATTAAATAAAGTAATAATTACTTCATAACAGCATGAGCATATTCAAAACCACCATTCTTCTGAGTTTTTTTGGTAACGCCCATAGCAGTTTCTACAACGTATAAAAATAAATTGTACTTAAAATAAATTGAGTTTTCATGAAAAAATATAAGTAAATAAATAGCTGTAAACGAGAAAAATGATCAGAATCTAATCTGATTAAATAAACTTGGCAATTGATATTTTGTATATGTATGCAATAAATAAATTTCATAAACTTCTACTTCATACAGTATACAGTATGTTATATATATATAACAAAAACTTCACCCATGTTACATTCTCACACTATGTATTAAAATGCTTATAATTCAATAAATATTTGTCCTAAAATTGTTAAAGACCCATTAAACAACCATTATGGTAAGAAAAGTGCTAAGAACAGGATATTTTAACATATGAAAATTAAAAAAATAAATAATATTTCCTTTAGTATTAAAAATAATAATGATGTAATTTTTACATAGTCTTAGAATGCATTATTAAGAAAAAAAAATTCACAATAAAATGTTAATTATATCAAAAATTATAAGAGTTTTCGGTTAGATCTGTCTATATACAACATATGAGGGCATTATTTCCAAAACTATTTATATATCAAGTAATTTAAATCAATATTATAATTTTAAAGTTTTGTGTAATTATATAACTTTTATTTTGTCTTGAAAGAAATTTCATTAACTTATTACTTACTTCCTAATAATACAACTGATATGTAGTATTATTTTAAAACTTACTGTTTTCTATTGAATTTTGGGAATAAAGTCCTCGTATATTTTAATAATAATATGTGCACATCATATAAAGTCATCTTAAAAAAAATCATATAAAAACCGAAATAACAATATTTTAATTATTGGGTAAAAACTTTTGATTTGGTTATTTACAGAGTTTTTACTTAAGGGGTCATCTTAAAACATCTTGTGTTCTAACCAGTACATGAATTAGAAATAAAAAAATATGCTATTGGTTGTGTTCCAATTTACATTTAAACTCCTAAGCATAAACATAAATGCATACTTTGCAGGTTCATAAGATTTACAGTAATTTGTGGTAGTTAATTTTTAAAGGCATTTCATCTGCGCAAAGTATTCATTGTAATGCTCAAGGGCATAACACTTAGTTTTAAAATTAAAAAAATCAAATAATCATTTAGATACAGTAGAATTTCAAATTTTGAAGTAGTAAGTTTGAGTGTACTTATTATTAGCCAATAAAGTGTTCATCATGAAAAAAAAATAAACTTTTGAATCCAAAAAATAAATAGTAAAAACAAGTTATTTTATTTTTTTGCTTCTTCTTTGTCTATTTCATCACATTCTACTTGTGGCGCATAGGCTACTTACTAAATTCAACAATTTATTCATTGATAAATAAAATAAAAATTGTTTTTAAATTAATAAATTTATTTTATAAATTATAAATTCTGATAGTTGTTTAGCTTAGTATAAAATGTTTAACCCTTAAAAATTTTACTTCGTTAAATTATCAACTTACCTAATAAAATTTCTACAGTACACTCGCTCATGTAATCATGTATATCAAATTCTTTATTGCCTAATTTCTTTAATTTGTTTACAGTATTTATACTATGTATATTAAATAGCGTAATAAACGATTTTAAAACATTTAAATGAAAAGTAGGTGCAATTAGTTTCCTGTGAATTTTCCATTTTTCACCTTTAAAAAATGATAAAAACTTAAAATTAAAATAAATAAATAAATAACTTACAATTTTTACCTGTGCTTATCAAAAGACCGTTTCCCAACCACGGTTTAAAAAATCTGTACTCAGGGGACTTATCGATGTACACATTGCTGCTTAATATTACTTCAATATCGTTAGGATCTGTTAAGAAAATTCCTAGTCTTGGGCCTAGCCATATCTTTATTGGCTTATAAGGTTCATAAAACTGAGATCTTCTCATAAACTCAAAATAAATTTCTATTTTATTACAAAAAAGTTTGATGGATAATTTTTTCTACGAAATTTTCGATTAATGATATATATTCTTACTATGAGGATCTAAGAATAGAAAATCCAGAGCTACACCAAAAAATGGTAATCCATCAGGACCTTGTATCTTTTTTGCCAATTTGTACATTTCTTTACGTGATATTCTGTAGTAAACATACCATAGTCCAACAGTCAGAAAAAGTAAATAAAAAAATAAATAAAATGTTGAAACCCTAAATATTGCATAAAAGCTTGTCACATCGGTAGCCATATTTAATAAAGTTGAAAATAATTCCTTAAAGATGGTTTAATGTAATATTTGAAATTATAACGCAATCAATCGAATTATTATTAATATGTGAATTAATAAAGAATCACGAATTCCCTTAGTAATATAAAAAAAGTTTAATTTTAGTTTGTATAATTAAATTCATTGATAGTCGTCATAGAACTTTAATTAATTTTTATTCAAATTCAGGTCAAGTATGATGTTAGTAAATTAGTAAAGCAAATGTATGTGTGTCAACTGACTATTTTGTTTTATGAATCAATATTAATTATATTAAAAATAAATAAATTAAGTAACAATTGAAAAATTATTTATACTATTTTTTAAATAGAATTTAATATTAATCATAAATTATGATATATTATATTATGACTCATAGAGTATTTTTATTTTATTTAACTTTTTTTTGTTAAAAAAATACATATATATTAAAAAATATTTAGAGTACTTGTAAAGATTTTTAAACAAAACAGTGATCACACATGAACTACTTTATTTGACCTATGTAGATTATTATCATAATTTGTTTTAATATATTCAAATAGTATTTTCATTGAATATATAAACTTCAACTAATTATAAGTTTGAAGTAGCGAATACAATAAAAATAATGTAAAAGTTAAGTACAGCAGTATTCAAAATATTGAGTTAAGATAATTTTTTTAATTAGTTTTGTTTGACAGTGACTTTAATCACCGTCGAAAACGCATCAATCTGAATTATAAATAAAAAACAACTTTTCATATTTACCACAAAATACATCACTTTTGACTTAAAAGACTGATTATTTGTAGAGGATCAGTCGTCGGAACGTTTTTTTAATTATACATATTAAACATACTTCATTTCGTTTCCACGCAAAAAGAAAAACTACAAAATAGCCCATTTATATTGAAAATTATATGATTTGTAGCTTTAATACTCAATAATTCCTAAACATCGAGATTTCGAATAATTTTTCTTTTTTGTTATATAGTACACGTTGTATAAACTTTAATTTGATGTAGATTTAAAGAAGTCAAGTTTTAAAACATTATTAAAAATTGAAAAAAAAATAAAATTTTAATATGGTTTTGAAAGCCCACATAGTGCAGTGGTTAACTTTAGATTTTCAAATAAATTATTGAAATAAATAAAATTATATAAACATTCCATGTTTCAAAATTTGCCGAGGTGTGTTTTCAAATGATAGTTTCGAAATTTGCTCTTCAAATCAATAAAACTGTCCTAAAATCGTCAAATTATAATTGTAATCAATCTTTTTTTTCATAGAAATACTGTATATTCTTGAAAAATTATGTAAATTGAACAAATATAAAATGGTCACGTGAGATCGCATGAACGAATGATTAAAGTGTCCATGTCATCAGCGCTTAGTTTTTCTTCTACAGGTTTGTATAATCAAAATGAACAATTCTTGGTGCATTGAATTTTTTTTAGTTAGAAATTCAATATTATTTTATATTTTATTGTTAGGTGTATGGATATTTAATGAAGTGTTATAAATGAAAACGACATTATGTTTATGTATAATATATTTTTTCATTAAAATTATTAAAAATATTTTCATTTATATGAATTGTATACAACTTTCTCAGATAATGACTTTCTTGGTTCCAATGTAATTTTAAAGCCATCAGACCTCTTTAAAATAACATCACCTTGGAGTTTCCATTTTTTCTCGGGTACTGTACTATGAATTTTAAAATTCCTTATAATTGTAGATAAAAGAATTTTCAATTTCAACATTGCATATTTACGACCTGTAAATTCGAATAAAAATTATTTTAAACAATACATAGTCCTATAAAAATCTATATAACAACGTTGTTTTAAATATAGTAAAGAAATGTAAATAAAACAATAGACACTTTTTAAACATTGTTATTGTATCCAGTGTTTTCAGTAATTATTACTCAAGTTAAATGAATTTACACTGGAAGTAGAATTATTTAAAAAAAACGGTAAAGTTGTGTCGCGACACAGTGTGAATGTGGCATAGTTGGGACAAATACAGATGATATCTGACAGTGATTAAAATCACATCATAAGAAACGCTTCAAGTCAAATCTTGTGTTAAATTTTAAGAAATTGGTGGATCATACCAATAACAAAATGAATTCCTGTTTCATTTATTATTCCTGATTAATAGTTCTTTGGTTTATAACATATAAATAAATATTTATTATAACAACTAAATATACTATGAAATTGTTAATGAAAATTTATAATTTAGTGTAGTAATTTTTACGGATAACTTAAAAATTTTTATAAAATAGTTATTATTTTTATGGAAAACTTTTATACAAATTGAAGGGCTTGATACAAAACTATTCAGAAAATAATTTGTTGTAAGTTATGAATATATGGTTTACATTAGAGTCAAAAATATACTTTAAATAATCAATTTTTCGAGCTGATTTCAAATCTGCAATGCGATTTTTTCTATCGCCACTAATTTTTGATATTATTACTAATTAGTTAAAAACTATTAATTATACTTCACGGTAACTATGTACTAAATATGATGCATCGTAATATTTTAAATCTAACTTTTCATTTTTTTTTACTTTTAAAACTTCAATATTAGTTTACTTACTACTTACCAACACAACTTCTAGGTCCAGCACTAAATGGAATATAAGAGTAATAATGGCGGGCAGCCGATTTTTCTGGCAAAAAGTTATCAGGGTTGAACATTTCAGGGTTAGGGAACACATCTGGATTACGGTGTAGTTTGAATGGGGAAATAGCTACAGTTGCACCTGCTGGTAATGTTATACCCTTTGATTCTGTAAAAAAAAAAGTAAACATATTCAATTTGTATTAAACACTTAACATTTATGCTTAAATATGGGATATTATACATTGTAAATACTACATATTACAAATTTAGTACACCAAATTAGTTACTATATGTAAATTTTTTATAAATAAGTTTATTTTTAAAATCAATCAGTTTTAAGATTGATAATATCTTATTTTCAGAGAATATTTAATAAATATATAAATAATGTTAACGTTAAACATAAAATGTTTTACTTAAAAAGTATACCCAGTTTAACATTTTCATAAAGATGACGAGCGATTATTGGAACTGGCGGATACAAACGAAGAGTTTCCATTATACATCTTTCCAAAAATTTCATTTCAATAGTATCTTGAAACGTGGATTGTCTATCAGAATCTCCAAAAATCGAATATAATTCTTCGACGACTTTTTCCTAATAAATACTAATCTATTAAACATAATAAATAAATTTATATGATAACATGTACCTGAATTTCTTTATGTTCTCCCATTAAACACAAAAAGAAGCTACTGCCAGCTGCTGTTGTATCATGTCCCTATTCAGAATAAAAAAAGGATTACGTTATTTTATATAATTATTGGGAAAACAGTGTTAAATCTAACTTCAAACATAATGGTGTCAACTTGTTCTCGAACTTCTTTATCCGATAATACTAAACCATTCTCCGCGCATTCTATCATAAGATCCAAAAATGCTGATCTTTTCTTTTCTCCTGGAATATTAAAACTCATAAGTACAACTTACATAAATATCCAATTTTTATACTACCTATTCCATCATCTTCTACATCCAAATCATCCTTTAAACCAGCAGATTGACCAAATGAATTACCATAAGGTATTTCCTTATTTCTGTTCACTTCCAAACCATTTTCCGATTCGCGAGTTATTAATTCGGAGTCTAGCACATTGATTTTTGGAGCGTCTTTCTTTTTAAAGTATTCGTCTTTTTTTTTAGCTAAAACCTAAAATTTTTTCTTATTAATATCCTGTAAAAAAAAAGATAAATATATTTTTACATATACCAACATTATACGTGAGACTGTGAATTATGTCTAGCAGATGCAATTGGTCCTTGGCATGTTTAGTGAGATTGAAAATGAGATCGGGTCTTAACCACAAACGCGTGTGTCGTAAGTGTAAAATATTAGTCATCCTAAATTTTAAAGTTAAAGTTAAACAATTATCTAATATTATTTACATTTTACTTGAACTGGTCAATCTTCAAAAACCTTTTTTATAATTGATATATACAGCGTAATCCATTTAGGAAAAATTATTTAATTACTTAGAAGATAAAAATAATATGAGGGAATATATTTTTACCATGTTTACTAACATATACTTTTCGATAAATACCTAAAGTTAAAAGTAGTCATAACCCGATTATCACACCCAGTTCATTTTTAAAAACAATCATAACTTCTAAAATATTTGTTTAAAAGTAGTTATTAACCAAATATTTTCTTAATTATAATAATAATAATAATTAGATTATTTTCTACTAAACACATTAGTTAAATACAATTTCTAATAAAAATATAGTTGTTACCCTTATATAGCATAAATATTGAACCACATAAATAATTAATAATTGATATTTGAGAAATAAATCAACAGCTTGGCGTGGTAATCCATTAATTTTTTTATTTGTTACTATTACCTTTAATTGCGATTATTAATTTTTTTTAGCGCCGTAATTTAAACTGTAATACAATTTTTATAAAAATTAAAGATAATGTCTTCTATAATTATTTCAAAATAATCCGTCGATGAGTTATTTATTTTTTGATTATTTTTATTTTGATTATGATTTGATGGTTTATGATAAACGCATCAATATGTATAAATAAACAGTCTAGATAAATTTAACTTAAAAATACTCAAAAAGAATTTTTAGAAAATAATATTCATTAAACATCTATAGAATTCAATTTTACATGTAAACTACTTTATTATTTAAAAATATGTTTTTTCAATATTATTAAATCTTAAAAATTAGTAAATGCTTTTTGGGTAGGTTACAGACTGTTGTACAGAAATAAATATTGTTATACACTATGTAGTTTTTTACAAAATCAGGAAAAAGTTCTTAATACAAAGTGAACGTCAAATATTATTCGTGATCATAATTCATAAAAACATTAGTTTGTAGATTATATTTTTGTTTTTATTTTAAAAAATCCAGCACAGGGGGGTCGCGGCACAGTGGTGACATGGCATAGTTGGATCAAGTATAATGATATANACATGGCATTGTTGGATCAAGTATAATGATATATGACAGTGATTAAAATCACTATAAAAAAAAAGCGCTTCGATGCAAATCTTTAGATAGTGTTTAATTTTAAAAAATTGGTGGATTATTCCAAAAGCTTCTTGATCTGCTGGTTCCTTATTAATATCTCGATTAAGATAAAGTATGTCGAATGAAAAGGGTTTATTAAAAAATAGTATTTTCCACAAAAAAATTATATTGATCAATACACTTTTCAATAAGTTATAGCATTATAAAGTAAAAAATAAAATAAAACTGAGAATTTTCACACAAAAATAGCATTCGGTAGCCATTTTCACCGTGAAGACAAAATAAAGTCCGAAATATTTTTTTTACATAATAAAGTAGATTACATTAACTTTAATTTAATATATATAGAAAAGTGTCAGAAAAAGTTAATTTTTTGTAAAAAAGTTGTCATTTTAAATCCCCCCCTGTGGGCAGTTAAAGGGTCAGATATAAAAAAAAATATACCAAATGAAAAGTAATGATATCATTCATCTATATAAAAAAAAAATGATATTGATATGTTCATTTTTTAAAAAAATATGGCATATATAAGTAAAAAAAATTGAATATTACAGTATTACAATAATAATGCTGTTATGAATATTATATCTTTATACAAGACATTCTGATAACTATTTGCATCACTATTATTTTATTACTTTTTAAAATATATAATTAGGTTTAAATAATATTTACGTACTTGAGCTTTTTTTAATTTCACTTTTCCAAAAGGTCATATCTTCAAATTTTTTAATTAAAATATGTCTAGAAAAAATATGAGTAAAAGCGTCTTTTTCTATGATTCATAAAATAAAACGTTAAAAAACCTATAGAGTTAACCTAACATAGAGTTCTTATAATATATTTAATAATTATCAAATTAATACAAAATAAACAGTGATACCACTTTTAAAAGAAAAACACTACTTGGCAAATAATTAAAATACTCTTTCAAATAATTACAAATATTTCGTTTAGATTTATACATTTTATTCCTGTATAATACATAAACTTGGTTATTATGATTATAAAAAGATGTTAAGAATAATGAAATACACTTTAGGAGTACAAAGGAATGAATGAAAGTGATTCACAGCAGTCTTTATAATGTAAACAATAGAGGAGTTACGTGATCTAAGAAACATTTTCTAGCCATTCGATTTAGAAGCTATCATATAAAGTAACTAAAGATATAAGGTTTGACTACATATCTCTCATAAGTCGTATATATGATAGAATAAATATTTTTTGGAGGATTTTTTTATCGATTTCCGGCAATTTTATGTCAAACAACAGAATAATTTAAACCACAATGATTTAAAAAAAAGTATGTCGAATGAAAGGTGTATATAAATACTATTTCTCATGAAAAAATTATATTGATCCATACATTTTTTAAAAAGTTATGGCATTATAAAGTTAAAAATGTAAAATATAAAATCGAGAAATTTAACACAAAAATAGCATTCGGTAGCCATTTTCACCACGAAGACAAGTCCAGAGGTCAAATTTTTTTTTTCCATAATAAAGTATATTTCATTGCCTTTAATTTAAGATATATATAAAAGTGTCAGTATTAGCGGAACACTTTCAAAATTTAAGTTAAAAAAATTAATTTTTTGTGAAAAAGTTGTCTTTTTAAAGCCCCCCCTGTGGGCAGATAAAGGGTCAAATTTATAATAAAAATATACCAAATGATAGGTAAGAACATTATGTGTCTATAAAAAAAAGAATTATATTGATATGTTTATTTTTAAAAAAGTTACGGCAGTTTTCAGTAAAAAAAATTGAAAAAATTGAAAAAATTAGCGATTTTTAAATTTGTAATTTTTTCAGAGGTTTCCCCCATTTACGGGGAATGAGGAAATTTTTTTCAATTTTTGAGGGTAATGTCTTCGACTAGATACGATTTGTGATCTTTNTTTTACGGGGAACGAGGGAATTTTTTTCAATTTTTAAGGGTAATGTCTTCGACTAGATACGATTTGTGATCTTTTGACGTATCATTGAAAGAAATCGGTTCGGTGAGAGCTGAGAAAAAGTGGTAACAGACACAAAAAAAAAATAAATAAATAAATAAATAAAAAAAAAAACACATCTTAGTAAAACCAATACCTTCTCAGCTTCGCATCGAAGCTAAAATGTATTTCTTGGAAATATTAAGATTATTTGATAGGAATGTTATTAACTTATAGATAATTAAAAAAAAATGGAATTATAATAATTTGTACTCTGAAATAATAAAGTATTATTTTATTTTTATTTTAATAAAATTAAAATATTTCTCTTTTAGTAAAGGTAAGTAGGAAAATGTATTAATTCCTCCACCATCGACAATTCTGAATTATTTTTTTAATTATATATTTATGGTAATATAAAAATATTTTCGAGGTGAAATTACATTAAATTTACCTAAAATTTGCTGACTACTTGCGTCAATTCAGTCAAAACAAGCTATCAATCAACTATAAAAATAATAGCCTGTAGACGCTTCAAACTCATTAAATCAGATTGCTATTAAATGTATGAATGACTATTACGAAAAAACTTTTTTGTGTATACTTTTTTATAGCTTTATGTGACTGTGAGTAAAAATTCATTTTTATCTCATATTTAATCTTATTTGATTCAATTATAACTATAATAATTATAAATATTGAGTATACAAACATTATTATTAATTTTAGTATTAAACATGTAGAATTATTTGTGATAAATATTAATATAACTAAAAATAATGTCATAATTAGTTTTAAAAAATGATATTTATTTAAAGCATACGACGTGTCGCTATCTTATACTTCTTTATCCCACAACAACTAATTTTTGCAGTTAATATAATTGCTCAATTTTATTAATTTTAATTATTTACTTCATAACTGCATCAGCATACTCGAAACCACTGTGCTTTTGTGTGTTTTTACTTACTCCCATAGCTGTTTCTGTAAAAACAAAAACACATAAATATATAAAAAAAAAATTATGAATTGTTTTATTTAAATTTATAAATGTATTGGAGACTCATTTACTAGGTTTGTTAAATTAATGACATCATTTAACTTACTTAGAAGTTTAATTTATATTATTAATACAAATAAACTATTACGATTTTTTCTATTTGTTGCCTTTTTATATATTTTAAGATACTAATATTTTTTATCTTATAAACAACGTGATGTTCATATTCTGTATATCAACCTTGCTTAAGAAAACACATTAGCTAATACAATATATTTACAATCCTATTCTATATTAGTTATTACACAGAGAAGTATAAATTCAATGTTATATTTAATTTAGTATAAATTACTTAAATAATTATGTTATTTTATTTTAACTATTCCATCTATTTATGTAGTTAAAATAGTTAGATTAATAATAACTATGAAACATGCACATATAATGCATTTATTCTTGCATCATATAATATTATTATTTAGTTGTTTGCCTTCTAATTCATTCATATTAACACGAGTTATGATACAACTTGTTCAAAGTGAAATCCTATTTCATTCTATTATATTAAATAATAAGTTCCTATTTTTTCTAATAAACCTAAATTTATATGTTAATACAAATAAAAAAATACGTGCATTTAATAATGCTAAACTCTTTAACAGCTGATGATATATTTGCTAATAGCAAATCACTACATAAAAAATATTAATTATACAATTAATAATCATATACTGTAATAAATTCCTTTACTTTTCCTATCATAACTGGTTTTATTAAAAAAAGTTTAGTAAAAAGGTCGGGAAATAATAATAAATCATCACTACTCATATTATTATATTATTCAAAATAATTTGTTTATTTATTTGGAAGGACAAAATTATATCATCAATAAGTTTTGTGCCAACTTTTTTCTTAATGTCGCACTATTATTATATGGATGCGATTAAATTTTCTAACTTTGAAGGACTTTACATATTAAAAATAATATGTATAATTTTGATATTAAATTAAAATCTTGGGAAATATCTTTTAACACGTATCTTTATATATCTGTAGTAAATATAGTTTCTACTATATTTACTAAATTTTATTGTTCACTAAAATTTCCTAAAATTTTTGACTGAGAAGAAAATGAAATTATACAAGAGAAATGAAAATTATAACGTTAAGGAACCCATTGATAAAAACAGCATAAAATCCAAACAAAAATTTTGTATAAGTATAAGTAAGACTATATTTAACAGAAATTGCACGGGCAAACTTGGGATGTTGTTGAACTCATAGTATTGGAACCCGAATATTTCAACAAATCTTTTTATTTTTTGGTATTATGTGAGTACAAAANATCTTTTAACACGTATCTTTATATATCTGTAGTAAATATAGTTTCTACTATATTTACTAAATTTTATTGTTCACTAAAATTTCCTAAAATTTTTGACTGAGAAGAAAATGAAATTATACAAGAGAAATGAAAATTATAACGTTAAGGAACCCATTGATAAAAACAGCATAAAATCCAAACAAAAATTTTGTATAAGTATAAGTAAGACTATATTTAACAGAAATTGCACGGGCAAACTTGGGATGTTGTTGAACTCATAGTATTGGAAACCGAATATTTCAACAAATCTTTTTATTTTTTGATATTATGTGAGTACAAACATTTTTGGGGTTCAAAAAATAATGTGGAAAATCTTAAATAAATCCCTGGTTAAAAGAGCATAAAGCTTCTTACCCAACAATATTTCAACTGTGCATTCGCTCATATAGTCATGAATGTCGAATTCCTTGTTATTCAGTTTCATCAATTTGACGACAGTGTCTCTACTATGAATATTGAACAGTGTTATGAATGACTTCAATACGTTTAAATGAAAAGTAGGCGCAATCAGTTTTCTATGTGCTTTCCATTTTTCACCTGCCGATTAATGTAAAACTTAAATTTATGAAAAAAATGAATATATATATTATTTACCCGTACTAATTAAAAGTCCATTTCCTAACCATGGTTCAAAAAATTTATATTCAGGAGACTTATCAATATACACATAGCTACTAAGAATCACTTCTATGTCATCAGGATCTAATAAAAAGATTCCTAATCTAGTTCCTAGCCATCCTTTTATCGGTTTTCTTATATCAAAAGTATAACTTATTTCTAACAACTTCATAAATAGTGCTGTAATATTAAAATTATTGTTAATATTTTTTTTAATTAAAAATACAAAATCTAAAAAAAATTCTTACTGTGAGGATCCGTCCATATAGCCTGGAAAGCCACACCAAAAATTGGTAATCCTTCTAGCCCTTGAATCTTACTAGCCAACTCTATCATCTCCTTGTGTGTAATTCGAAAGTATACATACCATAACACTGCAGCCATGAACAGTAAATAAAACAATAAATTTAAAGTCGATAATGCAATAATAGGATTTACAGCCATGATGTTAACCATTTTGTATATTGTTTTGTGATGGATAAAAAAAAGAAATCACAAAACACTTCAACTGAACAAATACTCGATGCAAATTGAGTTCAACTGTGACCGACGTATTTTAATAAATGACTAAATTATCTTTAATAAAATATGACTCTTTAAAGCTATTAAAATAAACTATTTTAAAACGCCGTTAACCATTTTGAAAATTCTTGAAGGAACAACAAGTCAGTAATTAAAAAGAACCAAATTCATTTTTAAATGATGCTCATATTGGTCATTTAGCAATAACAAATTGTTAATAATATAAGACCCGGATGCACTTTATTGTTGATGAGAATTTAATTATTTGTATTTCATGAGACGATGATTAAAATCTCCCTTAAATCAGTTTTTGTACTTTTCATAGAAACTAAACATAACATGAATTCAATGTTACCATATTGATATTCTTTAATTACGTGCTTCTTACACGGTCAACAAACTTATCATCATAATTTACAAAAATATTTTAGCTGTTTTAAATAACAATTAGTAAAACAAATTGTCAGTTAATTCAATTCAAAAATGTATTAATTAACAAAAGGAATATCACCAAATTGATTAAGTTGGGGTGGTATATTAAAATTGGGACAGTGAAATATTTTACAGATTTTATCACTTAATTATTTGTGAAAAAATATTTTGTATTTCTTAATAATACTTGTAAATATTTTACTACTGTTATTGATTGATACGACCAAAATAATAAAGTGTACTTATCTGCTCTAATTTAGTTCAATTGATAGTACAACCTTAAGATTAAACAAATTTTCTATTTCCGATAAGAGTGAAAATATTTTATTTATTGATAACTTATGATATAGTTAGATGTAGTCCTATGGGGGTGTATAAGATCTAGTCATTTTCCCAACCACGATTACCGACTCAACAAAAATTAATTGAATTTTATTGTGACCTTACATATTTATTCGAAATAGGAGTCATGAAAGTCCACTTAAAATGCCCGTATTATATACTACTTGAACAAAAATAACGAATAAAATATTTATTGACAATTGGCATATCTTCCATAAGAAAAAAAATAGAAAAGAAAAAATATATTTACTTTGGTGGACAATTTTTCAAAATGGAACAATTATCGGAACCGTTTTATATATGTAAGTGGCCTGTGTTAAACATTTAAGTTATTCATTAGATTTATATGAAAAATATAGTTAATTTAAAAAAAATTATTGTTTTTAGTCCACTTGGATAGTATTCATATACCTTTAAAAATACTATTTTGAATCATTACATCATTACAAATTGTTCTATATATTATTTATTAAATAAAATATATTACTTAGACAAGGAAAATCAAAGTTGTTGCTAATAATTTTACATAATCCCATTTTGTATTGTAAAATTATTATTTTTAATAATTTTTTATTTTTTGTAAATTTATTCCTAATTATGTAATAAATTAAAAAAAAAAACGAATAATTAACTTCTATATTACAACGATGATGTGTAGAATAAATATACATCCCTCAAAATCTTCGAGTATATAGTGAAGACTATATAAATTGAATAATTTTGACTCGTTAATAATTTTTTTAGGTTAGATAAGGATTTAAAAATGTAGTCCAAGGATTTACAGGAAAGTATTCTATCCAATTATGTTTTTTTAGTAAGCATGATAATTATTAATAATAAACTGACGAGTTTTAAAAAATTGTAGCAATCTTAAAATTTAGAAAAAAATCTAAATTTATAATTTTCCATATTTTATTATATTGTATTATGATTAAATCAATTCCTTCTCATCCACATCTCAAATCTAACATAGTACTTAAAAAAAAAATTTACTCAAAAAATACTGTAAGACATAATAAATATAATTAAATCCTACAATGGGTTCCAACTATACAGGTTTTTTTTTATTATTTATATTTTACGTATAAATATTCTACAGAGATAAACAAATTGACGATTGTTAAATTGTGTTAATTAAAATATAAAATGATACAATAGAATTGTTTATGAACTTCATTACGCCATGCCAAAGTGTTGCAAATATTATAAGTAGGGTTCGGGACTATATATTAATAAAGTTTATTTTAGTCATCCTAAATTGATATTAGTTTTTATTTTTCTTAATTCTATTCAATATATATTAATTAAAATTTTAGTTTTGGAGGGCATGGGTATCACTATACTCTAGAATAGAAATAGTTGTTATAAACTATAACTATAAAAATATGGAGTGGTCCAAACAAATTTTATAATTGTATTTAATTCCAAATCCTAATTATAAGGAGTAATATTCAAATAAACGAAACAGGTGTGTAAAATTTTAACGCGAATTTATATTGTATTGTACTTCGTTGTGTACCATCGTGTACCTATTTATTTTCAAATGGAATGCCAAGGGCAATGATGTTATATAATACTTGTTGATAGTATTTGTTTATTATTATTAATAATGTTTTTATTATTTATATTCTTCATAAATAAATAATAATAGGTAGGACCAACTTTATGTTCAATACATCAAATTATATCTAATATTAGTGAATAATTTGAAATATGGTAATAGACTATGTGTGTATGTATATATTTATTCGTAAGGTTAGTATTTTCGGTAAAAAAAAAGGACAGAAATTTTAATTATTAAATTATATAACCAAATAGAATTTTTATAGCTATTTCTCAATAGATAATACGTTAATTTTATCAATTTTTTAGGAAAAAAAACTAAATGAAATGGTGTATTATTAAAATTGTCCTTTATAATATACAAAAACAAACTCTTTAAAATTGTTTCGTAATATATTGACACACGGCAGAATATAATATCATTCTGTTACAGATGTAAAAAAAAATGTCAACTAATTTTCGTGACTAATCTAAACTATTTAATTATAAGCCACAGATTTAAAGTACTTTATCAAATTATCACAATTTTATTAACCTAGTTTAATAATGAGTTTTTATAATATTTATTTGTGATTATAATATTATAGTGATATTAATAATAAGGAATTCCGTTAATATATATATATATTAATTAATATAAATATATTATTTATAATATATATATAAATATTTTTTTTATTTACCATTTTTTAAAATACTACACACGCATACAAAAATAGTTATGAAATAGTTGAAGAGTGAATGTGTCAAACGTTCTATGTGCCAAAAAAATATTTGTTCAGAAAACACAAAAAACATCACAAATTAAAAATTTTCTTATAATTTTGTATAAAAATATATGTTATGCTATATTTACACTATATTAATAGCCTCGTAAATTTCTATTATTTTATTTTGTCATTTCATATTAGTATAAATTAAACATTTGCTAATGACAGTTCCAAGTGCCAAGTATTATAATATTAAAGTTCCAAGTTTCAAATAATGTGATAATATTATCGTTCCAAGTACCAATATTTTATTATAGATAACAGAAAATCATTCTTTATTTTATTAAGACTTCATATATATTTTTATAAAATATGTAAAAAAATCAACACTTTTTTTGAGTATCACAAATTGAAAAATAAATGTACAAACTTAAATAAAAAATACTCTTAATCTAACATGACATTGTCAGTAAATCTCAAAACGTAAAATAAAATTTTTTCTTCATATAAAAATGTAACAAGAAAAGAAAACAGTAGCTTTCTTGAGTATCACAAATTGAAAAATAAATTAACAAACCTAATAATAATTTAAAAAAAAATCTAGATTAAACATAATTAGAACATAGCAACATCATAATAAATAGCAAAAAAAATTAATTCATGACGTTATATTTTTATAGAAGTTTCTGTGCTTATCAGGTAAAAAAGGAATCATGGCCAACAAATCTTTTTTCTTCTCTGACGACAATGTGGGTTTCGGTATAGGTATAAATGTCTGATTTTTAAGTTGGTCTATAGTAGCATTTCTTTTAAAAACGTTAAAATCTTTCCAAAGTTCTTCATCTGAAAATGTTTTTTTATAATAGATTTTTTTGGGAGTTAAAAATGAAACTTTAATCATCGAACATTGGAAACTTGGTTAAAAAAATTGTTAGCAATGTCTTTAAATGAAAAAAAGTTGTTTTCATCCATCGGAATAACTCGAAATGGATTTATCAACTTCGCTGCTCTAATCATTTCTTGTAAATCAGAAGGAGTGAAATTTTGAAAAACTACGTTTCTTTTCGATGATAGCGAAATCACGATCACAAGCCAAGAGAGAGTGGCCACTTATCAAAAATTTTTGTATAATCTCATCAAATATCCTCATATTTATTAAATATAACATCAAAACTACTAACGTTTTATTTTTATTTTGGCCAGCACAGTTGTCTGACCATATAATTAGTTTTTTGCGATTTATCGTATTTTCGTTTTTGTTAATAACTTGAAAAAGACAAGAAGCGATTTCTGAGCTTCCACAAGAAGCAATACTTTCATCCCACATATACATAAAGGCTGTATTGCTGTCACCGAGATGTATTCCAAAGTTATAACAACTAAGTTGACGCTTTCCTGAATTGTATTATTGCTTTTCCTGGTCGCATACGATTTTCCACTAATTCTTTTTTTACCACTTCGTAAAATATGTATACTTTCAGTGTCCATAATAACACAATTAAACAAATGAAAAAGAAAACTTAACGACTACAACAACACCAGTATTAGTTATTTTGAAATATAACGGACTATATTATAATATTGTAATCGTCAAACTATTATATTCGCCCAAGGCACTTAGAACGTACAAGTAACAAAGGGCATGTCTCACAGAACAAATACAATCTATGAACGCAATTTTGTACAATTTTGACACTTGAAACACATACAAGATTGTGACCTTTGGCTCATAGAACATAAATCAGAAATAAAACAATTTTTCAATTTTTTGGCACATAGAACGTTTGACACATTCACTCTTCAGTTATTGAATTATAGTTTTTGTAATATAAATGAATACATTTTTATTTGAATGTAAATTTCATTAATATAAGAAAGAAATTTTCGATTGATTCATAAACAATAACACTTTTAATAAATATTATTTTAAAATCGCCTGAAGTTAAAAATAACTCCCTCTAAATAAATAATGTTAATTAAAAATAAATTATATGTTAACACACAATGAATAATTAATAAAAAACTACTTAACTAGTTATTAGAAACTATTATATTTAGCTTTAGGGCTTAGATAATGATTTTAGACCTAGATGAAGTTTTCCTCTAACAGATGACGGTGCTAAAATAAAAACTGCACCGTTATATAAAAACACATTTTTATTTTTATTTTTTGTCGATATTGCTTAACGAATGCTTAAGGTAGGGTAATTAATGAAATTAATGGATTAAGTGATCGTAGTCATATCGATATTCCCATCATTAATCAACATATCTAATTGGTATTTATTTTTTAAAGATGAATTAAACTTTAAAGATGTGCAATAATATCTTCTAGAAACAAAAATTCAATCCAGTATACATACGATCAGTCATAAAAGTTAAGCGTCTAATCTAAAATAGTATGTTGTTTATTAGCTAGACTTATTATATTTATATATAAAAAATAAATATCATAATTAAAAAACAGTGAAATTTATTTCACATAAGAAACGCATGTTATAAGTATGTTATTTATTTATAATTGTACTTTCACTACATTATATAATGTTTTAAATTAAGATTAAAACAAATAAAAATATATCTTTTAAATGATAATAAATGCTACATAACAATTACTACTTTGTCTATAGAATGATTCCTTACAACTTTTTTTCGGTTAAAATCTAAATATAAATATTTTAATAAAATACATGCAGTATTAAAAAAAAGCAAGAGAATTTTATGCTGTTTTAGCTAATGACTTTCTTGGTTCCAAGGTAATTTTGAATCCATCTGCTCTCTTTAAAATAATATCAGCTTGGAGCTTCCATTTATCTTGTGGTATGGTACTATGAACTTTAAAGTTTCTTAGAATGGTGGACAGAATGATTTTCAATTTCAACATAGCATATTTGCGACCTTAAAAGTTTAATAAAACATAAGTTATTTGAAAAAAAAATTATTTGAACTTTCTATATGACCTTTGAGTTAGTGAAACAAAAACTAATTTGCATTAATACAATAGACTTTATGAATGATAAATTTTATTTTTAAGGTCTCTAAAAGGGTTACTCTAATAATACTGTGTATAATTGATTAATTTAGATTTTTTTTAGAATATATAAATTATTTACGCAGTGCGAATATTTAAAAAATTGTTATCAATTATTCTTTATGAGTATTTTCAGCATTTGAAAAATATTACAACAATTTTCAAATTAAAATACAATATACATGCTGTCTTGCCACTTGTCCATACAATTTTAATTAAAATACCTATAACTCAAAAGAAAACGGTTTACAGTAAATTTTCGAAATTAACTAGAATACATTTAAGGCGAAGAAAATTAACTTTTTTAATTAATATTAATTGGATAAAAAAATTTTGTTTTTAGAAAATGTCAATTCATCTGATAAAGCTTATTTTAATTCTTAACTAGGCAAATCAGTCTGATTTTTATTTTTTTAAAGGAAAAATACCTCAAAATTTATAGAAAAAGTATAATAATAATTACTAATATCTAAATATTGATATTTTCTAACTCACCGACACAACTTCTGGGTCCTGCACTGAATGGTACATAGGCGTAGTAATGACGGCTGGCAGATTTTTCTGGTAAAAAGTTGTCAGGGTTAAATATATCTGGATTAGGGAAAATCTCTGGATTACGGTGAGCTTTAAAAGTTCCAATAACAATAGATGCTCCAGCTGGTAGTGTTATATCTTTTGATCCTGTAAAAATAAAGTAAATATTATACTTGCTTATATTTTGTATAATAGCTGTACTGAATTTGTTAGTTTAAAGTTTGGCAAAATAGCCAGGTGTTATACAATTTGTAACGACATTCTTTGTTCCGATAAAATTCAATTGCCTATTAAAGCATTAAAATGTTAGAAAACTTTCATAAATCTATTATACTCAGATTACGTCTAAATATAATATTGCCTTCGTAACAATTCTACCATCCATTATTAACACCATGAAAAATTAATCTAATCGATGACTATTAATAATAACTTAAAAGAGAAATATTTTTAGATTTTGTCTATATTTGTTTCTCTTTCAAATTTAGGTTTATTTAAGGTCATTTAATGTATATAACTTAATACTTTAAACAAAAAGAACACGTAAAACTTGTTTAGTTCAGTTAAAAGGAATTTACTAGAATATTAAGTAAATAATTTCCGACTGAACTATATAGGAATTCAAACTTTAGTAAAGTAGCATTTTTATAAAAATTGGAAAATTTTACCTAGTTTAACATTTTCTTTCAATTGACGTGAGATGATTGGTACAGGAGGGTACATACGAAGAGTTTCCATGATACATCTTTCTAAATATTTCATTTGTAAAGTATCTTGAAAAGTGACTGGTCTGTCGGAGTCACCAAAAATTGAGTATAGTTCTTCAACAACTTTTTCCTAGATAAAAAATATAAAAGCTATTACTAAGGTCTGATTCTAAAATAACTGATAAATATATTTAAATATTGTCTTATTCTTTAAATTGTAATTAGGAAACGTTTTTCGTTAATTATAAAAAGTCATATCAGTCCCAAGTTATAAACTCAATTACGTAATTCAGTCTTAGATTTTTTAGTGAAATTAGTACCTGAACATCTTTATGTTCACCCATAAGGCATAAGAAGAAACTGCTTCCAGCTGCTGTTGTGTCATGTCCCTAATTATTAAAATCATATTCAAATTCATTAGTACTTATACTCGGCGAATAAAATAAATATTCGTTCTTACTTCAAACATAATAGTGTCTACTTGTTCACGGACTTCTTCGTCAGAGAGAACTACTCCGTTTTCAGCACATTCAATCAAAAGATCTAGAAAAGCGACTCTTTTCTTCTCTCCTACTTACAACAGATCATTTCTCAAATAATATCAATTAAACTTTATATGAATTAAATATACCAATGCCATCATCTTCTACATCCAAATCATCCTTGAGCCCAGCAGATTGGCCAAATGAGTTTCCATATGGCACTTCTTCTACTGTAGAGGTACTAACGTTTTCTGATTCTTCGACAGCCGATGACAATTCTGGGATACCGGCTTTTTCTAAATTCTTTCTCTTTAAATAATCTTCTTTCTTTTTGGCTAATACCTAAAAAAAAATAATTAAAGTAGTTAATTTTTTATTTTTTCGTTTTAATATCGAAAAGTTGTCTATTAAACATTAATTATTGAACTCACATTATTGGTCAAACTGTGAATAATGTCAAGTAAACCAACTTGTTCTTTAGCGTATTTGGTAAAATTAAAAAGGAAATCTGGTTTCATCCATAAACGTGTGTGACGTAAATGCAAAATATCACACATTCTGAAAAATTATACATCAATGTAACTCTATAAAACAAAAAAAAAAATAAACAAATTTACTTCATAACTGCGGAAGCATATTCAAAACCGCTATGTTTCTGAGTTTTTTTGTTCACTCCCATGGCAGTTTCTATTCAATATTAAGATTATATTACAATTTTGATTAATTTAATATTTAAATTAACTTTTTTTTTTGTATTTACAGATTGAACTACTAATAAAATATTACCCCTCCTTGTATTCGTTAAATAATTATTTTTTCATAAATATGTACAAAATAAAATTTCATTTATTTTTATGAACTATAGTAAACATTAAGTTTCATTATAATAAGGCAAAATTATTCTTCAAGGTTGATTTTATGCGTAACTATCAAAAGTTAAATGAAAACCTATTATTATTTTCTTACTATTATATAAAAAATAGCTTAAATAAAAGGTTGACTTATTGATAAGTAGTTTTGTAATATTACTTTTTGAAATAATAGTATTTGAAGATTTAGGAAAAGTGAACAATGAGGTAGTTATTGGTGGTGCTCTATTTTACCATAATGCACAGTCAGTAATTCTTCTACGTTTTAAATCTCGCTCGCTTTAAATTAAAACTATAACAACTCAAAAAATAATAATACAAAATTGGTTATCAATAGTCAACATTTTATTTAAGCCATTCTCCATTTAATAGGAAATTATAATAATAAATTTCAGTTTAACTTTCGAGAGTTACCTCTAAATCTACCCTTAGATTTAAGTTTTCCTTACTTGAAAATTGATATGGTTTGTTAAAAAAAATCAAATTAAAATCTGTATTAATTTATGAAAAAATAATTCTTTAACAAAAAATGGAAGCTAATAGTTCATATTAAATCATATTGGACATATAATATTTACACACATACATATATATATATATATAACACTTTTATGAAAATATATTAATTAAACTTAAAGGATACGACATCTTTCTATAACATATTAAAAATGTTTAATTTTTGTAAAAGAAATAATTATTAAATACAATAAATTCTACAACAATGCAAAGTTAAATTTTTCTTTCACCCAATCAGGGTTAACAAATCTAAATTTTTTATTTTCTTTTTAATAGAAATCCATATTTTTAGATTAATGATAAAATAGATAAAAAAACTTTAAACAATTTTGTTCTTATATTTTTTATACGATGAACTGTTGTTTTATTATTCCATGTGTTAAAGTTTAGATTTTTTCGACCAATTCTTTATTGATAATTTGCTGTTTAATATAGAGTAGTTATTATTTCTTCTTGTTGTCACCTAAACGAGTTTTTATTGACAATTTTTACTATCCTTACTATCACTTATGGAGACAAAAATAAATGATAATTTATTTATATTCTATAAAAACAAATTATTGTTGCCTCCGGTATTATGAAAATCAAACAAGTGATGAATTTCTATTCTCATTTCAATTTTTTTAACAATTTAAAAACTCTGATTGGATAAAGCAAATAATAAGAACATAAATGTTTATAATTTTTTTTTATCATATTTTTAAAGTAAAAATGGTGGTTCTCATTAAAGAACGTTTAAGTATAGATTTGTATCACTGAAGAAATAAAAAATTATTTCACTATATATTAATATAAAGTTTTTTGTATCAAACAATATTTTCCCTTAAAATCAAAAATATTCAATAGTTTTCCATAAAATGAATCTTACCCTAAAGTATTATTAACATATTCATCTAAAAGTGTCTTATCCTTAATGAATCACCTTTTATGTATTTATAATAAAAGAGAGTTTTTCTTTATTTTCCATTATTTCTTTAAACTTTAATTGGTTTATTATAAATGAGAACAAAATATGGTGAATAACAAAGATGGATTAAAAAACATTAATCTCCTTTAAAATGTCATCTAAATTATAAAATGGTTAACTGTAGTTTTTCTTACCCAAAAGAATTTCTACTGTGCATTCACTCATATAATCATGAACATCGAATTCTCTTTTTCCCAATTTCTTCAATTTGTTAACTGTATCGCGACTATTAACATTAAACAATGTTATAAACGATTTTAATACATTTAAATGGAAAGTTGGTGCAATTAATTTTCTGTGTGCTCTCCATTTGTCACCTATTAAAAAATTTTTTTTCAAAATGATGTCTTAATAAATAATTAAGATTTTATAATTTTTTGTAACTTGTTAATCATATTATTTATTTATTTTTTCTAAATATACGTTGGCGGTTAGAAAATAGAACAGCAGAGGTAGTCCTTTCCCAAGTTGTAAATTTAAAAAAAAGTTTTAAAAAGTAAAGTTCAGAAGGAATCTAGTAAAATGTAGTTGAAGCATTCTTTAAATTAGAGTTCATTGAAATCTAACATTGATAACAATTACTATCGTAAAACGCATCGATGTCTATTTAAAAAATATATATTAAATTTACTAAAAGTTACATGCTCTTTGAATTTACTGATTAAAAAATAAAGTCATCGGAACGTTTTTTCTCTTTTAATCATATATTATATTAAACAAGATTTAATTTGAAATAATTTAGAATGATGTAAGAATTTTGTTACTATACAAAATATTTCAAAATCGGCTAATTTTGCTAAAAATAGTATAATTTTTAACTTTAATTCCCAAAAAATTAAACACAGAAGATAAAATGTAAAAAATATAAAACTATATCTATTACACAGTACTATACGTATGCAAAAAATAGTGTCATTACCAGTACTGATCAAAAGTCCATTTCCTAACCATGGCTCAAAAAGTCTGTATTCTGGAGACTTGTCAATATAAACATTACTACTGAGAATTACTTCTACGTCTTCTGGTTCTGTCAAAAAAACAATCAATCTCGGTCCAATCCACATTTTTACTGGTTCTTTTGGATTAAATTCAAAACTCATTCCATATATTTTATTGAAAATATCTTAAATTATAAAAGTAATATTATTAACGCCGAAGTATAACTGAGAATATATTTTTTTACAAAAATTATGTTTAGTACACATTTAAAATAAATAAGATTAATTTCTTACTGTGAGGATCTCTCAGAAATTCTATGGCACTACCAATGAAGGGTAATCCTTCAGGACCTTGAATCCTACTTGCTAGCTGGTATAGCTGTTTACGAGACATACGGAAATATATATACCATAATACTATAGCTGGAGTGAGCAAATAAAAAAACAAATTGAAGGCTGAGACCATAAATATAGGATTAACACCCTCCACGCTTGTCGCCATTCTGAAAATATGGAAAATTATGAAATTTATTTTATGTTGTATTTAATAATGATCAGTTTTACACCCTTCTATTTCTCGAACTTAACATGCTACAAAGGGCGGTAGGCTTCTTTCACGTGTTAGGAAGTCAAAGATGAAGAAGTCAAGAAGTTCTTGGCTAGGCCAATTATGAACGGTACGAGTATTATAACCGGCTTGTCCCAGAAACCACCACTAATGAGAAAATCACGAAAAAATCTCTCCGGCTCCTTGGGATCAAACACTGTAACCCGTGAGCCGAAACATACGTTTCTATCCACTAGGCCAGGCCAATTCCTTATTTTATATTTAATCATTTACTTAAAATAAGTTAACATGCAAAAAAACTATAATAATACAATTAAATTAAATGATTCTTGTAACCATGATGTCTGGACAAACGGTCTACATTTCAGATAATATATTTCATAAATTGAGATGTTATATTTGTTTGAACGTCATAATTTCTTTTTATTTCAATTTTTCACTTTATTATATACTTTATTAATTTTTCACTATTATTAAGAATATATACAAAGCCTGTATAAATATATATATTATTTACTGATTTAATAAGGGAATTACAACAACATTGATTCGAATACATGATATAAAAAAGAACATTGATAGCAAACATTTTATTATTAGCCCTACTTTTTTTTTTTCGTTGATTGCGACCCAATGAGTTCTAGATTAGGTTTATTTATCTATTAATTTATACATAGATTAATAAATTTAAAAAAAATAAATTTTGTATTCATTTAGTAATAAATTCAAGATACCCATAGTAACTTTAATAATTAAAAATCATAAAATATTTAAATCATTAAATTAGGGCACAATACAATTTATAATATATATTTTATAATTTGAGCATTAATCTATATTTATTAAAATAGTAATAATTTTATGTTGATTCTTTACGTAAACTTTTATTGAAAATTGTATGATTTGATGTAGGTTTAAAGGAGTCAGATTTTTGTTTTTTTTCATTATCAAATACCAAAGTATAAAAAAAAAATTGGTGTATTATTTCTAAGCCTTTATAATAACTTGATTAATGATTGGATTTTTCATAAAAAAGTATATCGTCGGCAAGACAATTGTTTCAAATATAACAATGAAAATTTTAAAGTGTAGTAATCTAGTGATACGGAAAAAAAACAATAGCTTCTCAATTGCACGTCGAAGCTAAAAAAAATTAATACAATATTCATATAAAAAACCCCAGCACAGGGGGATTACGGCATAGTGGTGACGTGGCATAGTTGGGTCAAGTATAATGGTATCTGACAGTGATTAAAATCGCCACCATAAAAAACGCTTCGATGCAAATCTTTACATAGCGTTTAATTTTAAAAAATTGGTGAATTATTACAAAAGCTACATGATCTGCTATTTCCTTATTTATATTATGATTAAGATAAAGTATGTTGAATGAAAAAGGGATATAAATATTATTTCTCAAAAAAAAAAATTCTGTTGATCCATACACTTTTCAATAAGTTATAGCATTATAAAGTAAAAAATAAAATAAAACCGAGAATTTTCACACAAAAATAGCATTCGGTAGCCAATTTCATTCTGAAGACAAAATAAAGTCCGAAATTTTTTTTTTCCATGATAAAGTATATTACATTAGCTTTAATTTAAGATATATATAAAAGTGTCAGAAAAAGTTAATTTTTTGTAAAAAAGTTGTCATTTTAAATCCCCCCCTGTGGGCAGTTAAAGGGTCAGATATAAAAAAAAATATACCAAATGAAAGGTAATGATATCATGCATCTATATAAAAAAAAAATGATATTGATATGTTCATTTTTTAAAAAATTATGGCACATATAAGTAAAAAAAATTGAAAAAATTGAAAAAATTAGCGATTTTTAAATTTGTAATTTTTTTGGAGGTTTCCCCCATTCACGGGGAACGAGGGAATTTTTATCAATTTTTGAGGGTAATGTCTTCGACTAGATACGATTTGTGATCTTTTAACGTATCATTGAAATAAATCGGTTCGGTGAGAGCTGAGAAAAAGTGGTAACAGACACACAAAAAAAA